TATTTCTTTCTATATTTAAGTATTTATTATTATTTATAATAAAATAAACTACAATCAGGAAATTATTATATTATATTACATTTACATGTAATGTTTTAATTGCAAATAAACCGTAACATAACCTCTATTATAAAATCATATAAAAATAAAACAATAAACATTGCTTACCATTAGACAAAAGGACAAGTTTGAAAAAACATGCAGTTAGGATAATTATTAAACTGATAATATCCATTCTGTAAGACAGAGAAGATCAACTGGCGACTCGCGAGTCGCATGCGGCTCCTTCTCCTACTTGCCTACTTCGTTGAGCCATAGAATCCCGAGCTCCTCAGCAGCCATTTGAATGTTTTGACTATGTTGTATCGTTTCTAAGGATCGGACTCAAAAATACCACAGTGACTTGAGCAAATTTTATTTGAAATATATTATAATTTGAAACAATAAGTTAATTCAACTAATATATTATCTTTATTTTAAAAATAATTTACAAAAAATAATTTTATTTTACATCAAGATGATTTATATTTAAATATTAAATTTTATCGAATAATTTTTTTTAATTCAATGTTTAATTTCTAAATAAATAATTTCTAAATAAAATAAAATTTGAATTTTAACTTTTAACATTAATTTTAATTTTAAATACTTACTACGTTTTGTACGTATTAAAATTATAAACAATAAATATACGTGTCCAAACATGAAGCGGTAAGGAAATAAATAGATTAGTATTTAACAAAATTGTAAGTTTCTCGAGACTTCGAACTTAAAACAGAAAAGTTAATCAAGTCCAGACCTGTTGTAAGAGATTCAGGGCTGATCCTTCAGCCAAGTATGTAAATTGAAACAAGACTTCGAGAAAATGGCGGGACTTGTCGATCAAAGTGAATTTAATTCTTCATCCTTATTTGTTTTCATATATATTTATAAAATAAATTTACAACATAGTTACAATTTAACATAATAAAAAATTGAAATGATCTCATACTAATTAATCCTATTGGATGTAAAACGTATATAAATAAAATTTCATTTTCTTATCTAAATTGATACACAAGTAACATTATAAGTATTATTAATATCTTATATATATATTATAATGTTAATTTCAAATAAAGAATACATAAAATAAACTTTAAGGAATAAAGTTTATAATTTATTTAGAAAATTATAGGATAAAATTTTATTATTCTGTTACGTTTAAAAAGTAATTAGTAATTAAAAATAATATGAGTTTCTAAATAAAAATGAAAAAAAAAATTATAATAACTAATATATAAAAATCAAAATATTTTTATCAAATAATTTTTAAATTATTTTATCAATATTTTTAATTATTTATCTTATATAATTAAATTATTTATCTTATATAAATTTATTTTATATTAATGCCTATACTTTAGGCATGATATGTTTTTTTTTTTTTTTTTTTTTTNNNNTTTTTTTTTTTTTTTTTTTTTTAGTTAAATCACAGATTAGATACAAAAATAGACCAATCATCTTATTTTCGCCTAAACTAACTGCCATACCGACTTAGAAGTTTGACATTGATTTCAGCGTCCTCTATTCATAAATAAAACAGCTACGATAAAATAGTTATTAAAGTATTAATAAGAATCAAATCAAGAAATATATATTCATGTATTTGACAAATAGTTACTATTCAGATGCTGAAAAATTTTTGTGAAGAAATTAAAATTGTGGCAAAATGAATCCAGCCGCCATAATTATATATTCTGTTAATAACAATGAAAGTGATATGAAAATGATAATGAGTTTTACAATTCAAAAATTTAGACCATAAAAATACGTTACATGATTATTCTATTTATCTATGATCAAATTCAAAATAAGTAAATAAACAAATTTTTATTATATTACATGTTCTAAAATACCAACTTCAAAAAAATCAAAATTTTTCATACGCCATCTGTATTTTATTATGGCAATCCTAGATTTGGAAATGGCAATCCTTCAAATTTATTTTGAACTCAATTATTAAGAATGATATATTTAAAAATTTTTGTTTATTTTGGACAAAAAATTTACATCGCGCATAAGATAAATCCCCCTTATTAAAATTTCATATTATATATACTAACTAATATTTTTTTAATAAAAAATTACCAAAAAATTAAAAACAAATAATTATATGATAATTTAACAAATACGATATAAATAATATAAATAAAATAAAAAATAATATGAAGAAAGTTGTATTGTTTTCAAATGCAAACGATGATTATATGATATAACAAAGAAAAATGATTAAAATAAGAAATTGATATTTTGGAAACTGAAATATAATGAAAAAAATTTAATGAAAATTTAATGAAAAAAATCGAGAACAAAATTATGTTCTTCTGAAGAAGAGAAAAAAAATTCTTGTCTTATAAGAAATTTTTTAAAATTTTATATAAGTTATATTTTATATTTAGTTATATTTTATTTATTTATATTATATTTTATGATTATATTTTATGATTATTGTTTTTTTTATTATTATTATTATTATATATTTTATGATTATTATTTTATTTTATGTTATTTTTGTTTTGTTAATTATTTTTACTTTATAAACAACATTACATATGCATATAATATTGAAATATATTATTTTAACGTAGTTCAATTTTTTATCATTTATTAATTGTTGAAATTTATTAATTGAGAAGATGTGCATATATGCATTTTCCACACAAAACGAAGATAGATTTTTTAAAACGATTAAAAAATGATCTATATAGATTTATTTTACAATGATATTGCTTAAATTTTATATAAATTACAATTTAGTTTATAAATTGATGATAATAATTAAACTTAATATATACTAATAATAATAACTGAGAATCAATGAAAAGTCCTGTAATAAAATTTAAATTGGTTAAATATAAAACTAATCAATAAAAAATCATAATTTTGTTAAAAGATCTTATGTCATGTTGTATAGTTGAAATGTTTTTTTTTCGTTATACATAAAATACATGCATATAGATATGAATGTTGAACAGCATTGCATTGCATATAGATATTTGAATTGTATAAATCGAATGATTTATAATATTAATTATTTTGATTCGAAAATTGACAATATATATACATATACGTATTCAATCGATCTATATTTAAATCGAATTTCATGTTAATCTATCATTAATTACGAGTACTTATGTTTTCTTTTATCTATTTTATCTATTTTATGAATATCTTAAGTATAATATAATATAAGTATAATATAAGATTATTTGCTTTTTATTATTTTATTATTTATAAAATTCGTAAAGGTATACATATACAAATAAATAAATAAATAAATCAATGAAGAAAAAGAGTAGAGCAAAGGCAATATAAAATCGAAAGTAAAACGAATATAAATTGAATCAGTGGGAAATCTAAATGAAACGAATGATGAAGACGAAGTAACGAGATCGTAATACGGCGAAAGATTATTTCGTATATATTTTTCTTGAAATCGGAAAAGAATTTTCATCCGATTTCGGACAACACTCGATTCGATCAACGATGACCGGTGGACCGAAGAATGAGACGGAAATGGCTGTTAACTCTGGCGACATATCAACCGAATGCAAGAGAAGGCAACGCGTGGGCGCGCGCGCGCGCTGCCGTTTCTATCGACCAGATTTTCGTCTCTCCTCCTCTCGTTTCCTCACCGGTCGCGGCCTCCCTATGCATTCCGCTAGAATCCTAGCCGTGGCAACGCCTCGTCACTGCCTCGATCGTCTTCCGGGAATTACACCTAACTAACCGGTCTCCCACGTGGCCACGTGGAGAACACGAGGAAAACAAAATTGTACGATCTCCGATCTCTCCGCTCTCCTATCCGAACTGCGATTTTTTCCACTCGATTCAAACCCAGTTTCCCCCCATCTTCCCATCCCGTGTTTCAGATTCCACGCTAAGTTTCATTCGGCCAATTATATAAAATTGTCATCGGGCAACCTGTATATAATACATATATATATATACACACATACATGCATATATATATATATATGCATGAAGATGAAGATTGAACAAATGCGGTAACGTGACAAATGGTGATAGTGTTGGTGAATACGATTCCTCCTATATTTTTCGTACATGTCGTTCACGCGGTTCGGTGGATTTGATCGGTCTTGTCCTCGGTTTTCGTGCGGGGATTGAACGGAAGGGTGTTTCGCCAGTGGCAGGAAAATTGGACGAGAATGATGCGTCGAATCTGATTCTTTCGGAAAAAAAAAAAAAAAAAAAAAAACGGTGGAGAGATGGAGGGGATGATAAAGGATGGTAAGCGAAAGTGACAAGAAATTTGACTCGACAATCATCGCCATCCATCCTCATTTAAAATGCATCGAAACGTCAGTTTCGTTACGTTCAAGTGCGCAAAATTGAAATCTTCCTGATGTTGGACGACGTCGAATCAAGGCGTTTAGTGATCCGTTAAACTATGTCAAATTGAAAGATCGACGAATTATGCCGACACACATATAAATTATCATCAACTTCATATGAAGTCCACGGAGCGTTGCACAACTATTACAATACTGGTTAACACGCTTCGTATATATGTTTTTAATTTTTGTTTTTTTTAACCGAAAAATGTATTTGAAAAGTGTGGGGATATAAAGTGATTTTCGGTCACTGTAAAAATGTCTCGCAAACGTCTCTGATATACATCAACCACGATTGATTAATAAAAAAATATTATGGAACTGAAAATTTTCGATTTTTATATACAACAATAATGATAATAATAACGAAGTGTGTCGGAATTCGACTCAGCCTGAAATATCGATATACACATTTTTTTATCTTAACAAAAGAAATCTTTTTTAAAATCCGTGAAAAATCTAGATCAATCGTGCCTATCGTCGTAATATTGTTTCCAAGCAATTAAGTTGATTAAATTGGGAAAAAAATACTTTTGCCAATTTTTATTATCGATCACAAGACCACGCCTGAAAGTTAAATTTTATCGTTACAAATAATCTTGATTACGGGATGACGTAGAAGGAAAATTGGCGACAGAACAGTGATATATCAAGAATTCTGTGTACAATTTTATCAAACATGCCTAGACTTGGGATCATTTCGATAAAAGATGACGGTGAAAGTGAAGGAAGTGAAGGTGTCAAAAAAATCGATCGGTAAGCCGAATAATTATTTTTATATAATTTATATATATAATATATAACGAGAGATTTCAATTTTTCAATATCGTTGCGATAAATTAACGTAATAATACAAACTATTCTATTCTCTCCGTTAATTTCTCTCTTTTCTTTTCGTCTTCTTTTTTTTTATTTATTTTCCTTATTCATCCCGTGAATTATTTCTAATTTCTAATAATAATAAAATATTCAATAACAATTACATCACGTGTATATATATATATATATATATATATATATATACATATATACAATTTTAAATATTATAGTTCGAGAAGAAGAGCTTATCGTAAATTTCCATACATATCACGGTGAAGATACGATAACGATCGAAAATACCATTTGCGATAAAATTTACATCGGATAATGCATACACTCATACTCGCAGTATCTTTTAATCATTCGAAATCGACAAACGAAAAAGGTTCTCCTGGTATGTGCGATCAATCCCAAGACGAGGTAAGTCGTCGAAATGTTTCTCTCCTTTTCTTTCTTTCTTTTATTACGAAACGGAAAATACCCTCTAGCTAGCTTTAGCGAACCAAGGGAATCAAATTTCTTCTAGAAATTCGCCCGTTTCCGCATATCTGTTCTACATTCTCCTCGTCGCGAGTTCGTTCGTCGACGCGAGATTTAAACATTTCGTCGATGTTGTTTCCTTCGCATTCTATAAATACCAGGCGATCTTTTCGCAAACAATGAAATTTAAATTTTAAATAAATCGATAATCGAAGTTTTCCCCGAGCGAAACGAAATCGAACGCGATTCGAAGCTATTTATAATTAATCACAAGGGGATCACGATTTAGGGACGTAAAAAGTGAAATTTTTCGCAATTGAAAAAGTAAATTTTTTTGTGCGAGGATTGTTTCCCCGAGCGAAATGAAATCAAACTATTTATAATTAATGTGTCTAATTATAAAACTATTTATAATTAATCACAATTCAAATGAATTAGAACTAGTAAAAAGTAAAATTTTTCGCAGATTTTTTGATCGACGATTGTTTCACTCAAAAATCTCGATTTTTAGCGCAAAACGATAAACGCAACTAACGTACCGGTTTTCTTTTAAGAAATTAAGAGAAAAGTGATAAATTGGGGTAATTTTGCAAATTGTTTGTAAATATTGTTCGCGAATCTTGATATTCATCATTGATAACATTGATCATTGATCTATCATTTATCTTATTATTGGATGCAGTGATACGTCCAAAAAGAAAGCAATATCCTAAATTTTTTCGAACGATTCGCAAACTTTTTATAACTATCACTATTTTCGAGAATATTATTCGTATAACAACATTCATTAATTTATCAACTTCTTACACAGGTTCGTCGGTTGTGTTTATTATACATTTTCCTATTCTTAGAACGCAATTTGTAAAAAAATATCAAGCAATTGGCAACAATCGGGAATAGATAAGTAAACAAAAATACATTTTTTTGTGAACAAATAAGCATTTTTTTTTCTAGAAAATTTTCTATCGAAAATTAATTGAAGAAAATCAAAAAAAAAAAAAATCGATCTTTTAATCAGAATAAAAATTAATTTAAAATTCTCGATATCCAATAGCTACATGATTCGAAACCGTTAAGCCATTTAATATCTTAATCCTTTTTCTTTAGTTACATCCATTTGATTTATTTACTCGATTTATTTCGATCCTTAAAATTGCGAGATCGTTAATAAATAAATAAATAAATAAATAAAAATGTATCAGAAATAACATTTTCTATATGTATACAATTATTTTTACATGCATCTCATATTTTAACGTATATTATTTTATTATATTTTAATATATAAACGTATATTGATTTGTTATCTTTCCTTTTTTATAAACTAAAATAATATCGTTATCTTTCTACTTTTTGCTTTTCTCACATGCGATATATTTTATATTAGATTAGATTATAGATTTTACAATCATTTCAATAACAGCAGATATTCCGTTAAATTTTTTCCTTTTAAAATTATTCAATTTTTTTAATCTTTTGAAGAAACATTCAAAATAAATATATATATATATATATATTCTTTCAACTCCTAATATTTGCATGATAAAGCTATCTAATCTAAAGAATCTGTTCAAATTCTATCGAAAATGGGCGGAAAATGTACATAAATTATGTTTGATCAATTAATTATTTAAAACGATGATAAAACTCGTTAAGATAGCGAAACGATAAATTTATCTTATAAATTATTATTTTTCAAAGATGAAAAATTTAATAAAAATTATACCGATTATATTTATATCTAAAGAAAAATTTTTATGTTCAGGTTGTGTTTCGTGGTAGCAAAAGAGTGCTAAATAATGAACACAGCACTTTCAATTTCGAATTCAATAACAAAATATATACGAGTCATTTACGGTTACGAAAATGGTTGATAGGATTGCTGATCTTTTTGTTTGTCTCGCTAATTGTGATTAATACGTTCCACACGGATCAATTTCGAGTGATACGGTATGGAGCCATTGGAGTCAACGATACTTCACAAGGTATTTAAAAAAAAAAAAAAAAGAAAAAATAAAATAATTCCTCTATAAAAGTTCATATGTATTTAAATATTTTGAACGAACATTTCGTGTTTTGCAAATTATTGAACGGAACAGAAATATTGGAAAATTCTGTTTCGAACGCTTAATAACAGCGAGTTAAAAAAAAAAAATTATTTTTGAATATCGATAAACTTGAATAACAGTCAAATACTTGATCAATGCTTTTTTCCTTTATTTTCAGAAAATTACGTAGAATTGAAACCTTTCTTGGCTTCTATAACCAATTCTGGTTTCCTGGTCCGCAACAAAGGTTGCCGAATCCCAGATATGGATCCTTTCGACTCGGCGATCGTACAATACATTCAAAGGGAGAAACCACTTGTCTGCGAGCACGGAAATCATTTACCATTGGTCGATTCAAACGACACTGCATTGCACGTAAATCCAGACGCGATCAACCATTTTTACAACAATTCGGAGGAGATCGATTGCTGTTGGCGTCCGTTCTGGCGAATGAAAAACGAGGATAACGTTGTTACGTCAGTAAGACTGATCATTCTATCTCTATCTCTATCTCTACTATAATACTAATCTCTAAACTCGTATCAATCTCTTTTTATCAACTCGAAAAAATATCGTCTCTCGTTTAAAAATAAAAAAATTCAATTAATGCCATGATTCATTATTAATCCGAGTATTCGATGTATTACAGATATGGAAACGAATGTTTCAAATTCAAAAATTCAACGATTGTGAATACCGAATTCGTGAAGATCGAGTGTTCGCGCAATAACGAAGTGATATACAAGGATTATCACGCATTCGTGCCTCGTTTCCGATCAGTGGAAAAGAAATGCGAGAAAGTCAGAGCTGCCAATTCGAAAACCGAACATCTTAGCGTATTAATAATCGGCCTCGATTCGGTTTCCAGATTAAATTTTCATAGAATGATGCCGAAAACTGTCCATAAGTTAGAAGAGCTTGGAACGGTAGAATTGTTGGGCTATACCAAAGTGGCCGATAACACTTATCCGAATTTAGTACCTGTTCTGAGCGGGTTGTCCGCTGGCGAATTGCACGATTTGTGTTGGCAAAAGAAAGATAAAACATTTGATGAATGCCCCTTGATTTGGAAAAATTTTAGCGCGTCTGGTTATCGAACAGCTTTTGCCGAGGATGCTTGCGCCATGACCACGTTCAATTATTTGAAACGAGGCTTTCGAATCCAACCGACCGACTATTATCTCAGACCATTCTGCATAGCGTCCGAGAAGGATATCGGCAATACTCACAAGTTGAATGCGAATCTCTGCGTAGGGACCAGGAAAACGTTCGACAATTTGTTAACTTACACGAAGAAAATCGTCTCGCAATTCTCCGCGGATCCGTATTTTGCGATGATCTGGCAGGCTAGCTTAACCCATGATTTTTTCAATTATCCACAATTGGGCGACGAATCTTACTACAATTTGATCACGTATCTTTACAACGAACGATTGATGAACAAAACGGCATTGATAGTGATGAGCGATCATGGAATGAGATGGGGAAGTTTTCGGCAGACTTACCAAGGTAGAATGGAGGACAGTCTTCCTTTCGTGTTTCTCGTATTGCCCCATTGGTGGAGAGAAAAGTATCGAGTGGCTTGGACAAATTTACGAAGAAATACGCGGAGCTTAACTACAGCCTTTGATTTGCACGAAACTTTGATGGACATGATGAATCTCGAAAATCTAGAAGAATCACGTCTTAAGACTCGTTTAAGAACAATGCCGAAAGATAACAATTTGCCACGCGGGATCAGTTGGTTTTTGCCGATTCCTGACTATAGGACGTGCACAATGGCGGGTATTGCCAGCCATTGGTGTATGTGTCACAACAGTTATGATGTTTCTGCGCAGGACGAGAATCTCAGAGATAAGGCGATGTTTTTGGTCTCGGAATTAAATAACATGTTGAAGAAATTCGTGCAATGCGCGATTTTGAAACTGAAAGAAATTAAAGCCGCGAAAGCGTGGAGGGACGAGGATGAGCAAAGTCTCATAGATTATACGATCACGGTTGAAACGGAACCTGGTAACGCGATATTCGAGGGCACGATACGGTACAGAAGCGAGAACAAGACTAACAAGTTGGTAGGATCGGTTAGTAGATTGAACGCATATGGGAAACAGAGTGCCTGTGTCGATGAATTCAATATGAGGCTATATTGTTATTGTTTATAAGTTTCAATTTGTTCGATATTTTTTATCATTTTTCTTTCTCCCTCTGAAGAACTTTCTCTTTAAAAAAAAAAAAAAAAACAACTTTACTCAGGATTTCGGTAGTATTGAATGAAGTTAGTACGATAGCCAGTATACTGGTACAAAAAAAAATCACACTGTGATAAAATACTTACTTTAAATATGTAATGATAATTCACGGCAATTTCGTGCTTAACAAATGAAGTGTCAACTAATGATAATATTATTATTTCTATTATTATCATTATTTTCTCCATGATTTATTTTCGATGAAAATTCGTTCGATGCCAAATCATATTAAATATCGTTCAGTTATTATTATTATTATTTATATTTTCATTCCTGTGCTTTGTTACGATCTTTTCAGAGAATTTGTTCTTGTTTCTTATATTAATACAAATGATCGATAATCGATACCAATATTAGCACTATTGATATTATTTTATTTTTTATTTTTTAGAATTATTTTATATCTCTTGATAATGATAATAATTATTATTATTATTATTGTTATCATTATTATTTTTTCATTATGTATAATATAAAATATACATTAGTAATTAATGCACAAATAAATAATAAATATAGTATAAGTGTATCTGATGCGGTGCAACGATTATTATAGTGATATTATAGTGAATTCAAACCTAATCATGATAGTATTGATATAAAGGTGTTGATATTAACACGTTCAAGTATTTAAACACGTTAAGTGCCGCGCTTTCGGTGTGACTTTCCGTTCAAGCTATGATGCATATATTGTCATTTGTTTAGAAATATCAGCGGCTTGAATGGAAAGTTCAATATAGGAATACATATGTGAGTATATACAATGAGGTTCATGCGCTTTTCAATATGTTAAAATTGTGTGCATTGCATGCATGCATTTGGTCTCTACTTCACTATCCTATGTATATTATGCATTGCTAAGAAGAAATTTCCCGATGACTTTTCGAGATGATACAAGAGCTAAAAAAAATATTTTATATGTATCATATATTGCTGAAAAGAATGTGAATTTAATTGATTTCAGATTGATTTCCGGATAGACGAAACAATTATAAAAATAGATACGAGTATTGGTCAAAAATCTTCTATCAATAAATTACATTATCATATATTAATATTGTATGGTAATAAGTGAAAATACAAAATATTATTTTCCTTGCTTTTAGCAAATACAACATTTTGATATAATTTTCTAGCAATGCATAATCGTACATAAATAAGTATGAAATTTTAATTATAAAATTTCCATTTTTATTTTAAATGGTTTATTAAAAAAGATAAGATAAATCTTTAAGCAAGGATTATATTCCAAAAAATTAAAAATTATTTTTTCAATAAAATTACACATTTAAAAAAAAATAATTAAACAAAGATCGCTTCATACATCTTTCATACAATAAGTTTTACAAAATTCAAATTAAAATATCTTATAAATTATATAAATTTTTGTTTGTAAAATAGATTAATATCTTTTTATAAAGAACAGTGTACTGCATCGATTGATTAAAAATTATATTATTCTGTTTAAAAAAAACAAAAAATTAATCTTCATATAATTTTTATGTCTGTAAAGAAATTATTAATATAAGGTTATGCTTTTAAATTATTATTTTATTCATCCTTTATATAAATTAAAATATGATAAAGATTTTCATATTTGGAAAACTATTTTTTTTTTTTATGAAATATAATATCATATATCATATTTCCCTTTTTTTAGTAAACCATTTATGATTGTAATAATAAATATCGAAAACGTAAGTATTATTATTTATATGCAATATAATTAAAGATGTAATTTTTTTAAGTTATTTATTTATTAAAGTAAAAATAATTTTAATTTATTTATTATATATTTTTTAATTTATTATTATATATTATTATTATATATTTTTTAATTTATTTAAGTAAAAAAACAAGAATGTTTTTTTTTTACGTTGGATTAAAGTGCGAATGTTTTTAAATATATTTTTAAATATAATATATTAAATGTATTTTTGTTAAATACACTGTGATCAACTTTAAATTAAATTTAAGAAACAATTCTGAAATAGCACATCAGGAGAATAGAGAAGGGAGTCTTTCTTTATTTAAATAGGATATGTATTCATTTCTATTATTATATCGCAAAATAATTATAAATGTAAAATTTATTTAATTTTATTTTAAACATCTAATTATATACTCAAAATTAAATATTTAAAAATATGACAATGAATTTTTTTACAGTTCTTTATATGATGTAAAGACATGTAAAATCATATCAAATCTTAAAATGTCCAGAATATCATTTGATGTTTCATTATAAAGTTAATATTTTAATTATATGAGGTATAACTTAAAGATAATTTAAATATAAATTTTTTATAATTTTTTTTATAAATTTAAAAATTTTTTTATAATTAATTTTATATATTGAATGACAAGTTAAAAACACTTGTTGAATAAAATTGATTTTGCTTTCAAAAGATATAATAATTTATAAATTTACAAGCTTTGAATTGAATCGTTAATTTTTTTTTCAATTTATTTATAAAAGAAAATATATTGCAATTTATCTATTCGTGATTTTCAACAAAATTTCTAAAAGTTTCATTAACAATATTTGTATTCATTCAATTTTTTTTTAAATTCTATTTAAATTTAATTAAAATATAAATTAAGAAAGTAATATTATTTGATATACTTACATATATTTTTCAATAGTCTGCAATTCATAAAAAAAAAATGTTTCATGATTTTTGTTATGTTTATATAATAATGTTTTCTTAATTAATGTTTTCTAATTGTACAAAATCATATTTATATTTATTCGGAGTTTAAACACAAAGATATAAAAATTTAAATGAATTCATTTAAAATTTTTAAACACTAATTTTTAATATAATTTTTTTAATATAATTATAATGGATTGGTGATATATTTGTAACAGTCATATAAACTGAAACTAATAAAAAATATAAATATGTATATTAAAATTATGATAAAGATACAAAAATTATTATTTATCTATAATCTTCTTTTTATAAGAAGATATTTAATTAATTACTCAATAAAACAATATAATATATGTATCTAATAAAAAAATTGTATTTTAATTTTTGTAAATGGAATGTACACAAAGGTACTGAAAAAAACTTTTGTAAAATATAATGTAATGTATAATTTAATATAAAAAATTTTTTAATAAAAATCTGAAATGGAAGTTAAATAATTGAATAATTCTTATTTGTTATAGACGTTGGATGATGTTTTACATTTTATTGCAAATAATATCAATAGAAAAATTGTAATACAATATTTTGCTAGTTGTTATTAAATCATGATTAGTGAGTATGTCTCACTTTTTAAATGCAAAATTTTTTTATGTAAAACACTCATACATTACCCACGCATATTAAACATAAAATAATTTATTTTGTTAAATAAAATGCTCAACCATTGCTGATGTTTATGTAAGTAATTGATAATAATATACACATATATATATGACCAGTCTCTTATAATAAAAAAGGAAGTACATGTACTTGCAATGGTTATTGTGTTTGCTACATGTATTCACTTCAACTGACTTAGTAATTGGTTACCAAACCTGTTGGTATCCACTTTTTAAAGAAGTGAAAACACTACTTGGTGTAGATACACACAAGTCAACACACGCATTTTAGTTGTATGCACTCTTATCACCTTGTACATGTATTGCATTTAAAGTTCTTAACTTCCACTTATTCCATTATAAATTCGATTTACAGAGTCTTGTTGGAGTAGATTTTTTATTTCTGAAAGAAAAACAAAAAAAAAAACAATTGGAAAATTATACGCTTAATAATAATTTACCTTCTTTCTGTATATCTGTGAATTCCGTTTCAGGGAATGCAACATCAAATGTAATATACAAAGTGCCATGAAGATTGTTATTCTCATAATTAGGCATTCCTTCTCCTTTTTTTCTAATACGAGCTCCTGGTTTAGTTACTTTATCCCTTTGAATAGTCACTTTATGACCATCCAAATGTTCTATGTCCATTTTAAAACCTATTAAAGCATCTTGCATAGATATAGTAATATTTGTATACAGATCATCACCGATTCTTTCAAAAACTGGATGTGGTTGTGTTCGTATCTTTAAAATTAAATCTCCAGGTTCTCCATCTAAATGTGGTTCACCTTCTGCTGTAAATTTAGTTTCTTGGCCATCTACCATTCCTGGTTCAACTTCAACCTCTAATATACGTTCCTCAGTAACAAATTTAACATTTGGACATTCTGAACAAACCGATTGTTGCATCATTTGAAATCTTCCATTTCCTAAATTGCGAGTAACCAATTCTTGTCTACAATTACATTTCCTTGTTCCTTTTGCAGCCTTCATTACTGGCTTATTTCTTGTTATCTAAAAAAAATTTACAATTTTTTTTTACATATTCTAATTTTTTTAAATAAATAAAAAATTTTACCTCTATGAAATTTCCACTATATAATTCTTCTAAAGTGACTACTAAATCCATTATAATATTAGAACCCTTAGGTGTTTCTTGCTGATGATGAGATTCTCCACCAAAGTGAAAGCCAAAATCACCAAAAAAACTTGCAAATGGATCAGCATTATTCATCATACCATCTTTTTTTAAACATTCTTCTCCACATTTATCATACATTTCTCTCTTTTCATTATCTGATAGTACTTCATAAGCTGCACCCAGATCTTGAAATTTTTGAGATGCATTTGGATCATCTTTATTTTTATCAGGATGCAATTCTTTTGCTAACTTTCTGTATGCCTTTTTTATTGCATGTTGGCTTGCTGTTGATGATATGCCTAAAATGGCATAAAAATCTCTTCTGCAAAAATTTCAATCTTATTAAAATTTATTATATATTACAAATATATGAAATTAAAATTTGGAAATTAAGAAATTAAGAAATTATTCAACATCAAATGTCTATGTATGTACATGTGTATTATTATAAAAACATATCATATAAATAATAAAAAAAATAATATTATTTAATAAAAATATTTAAAAATTCTATTATTTATTGTTTTTCAAAAAATTTATTGTATGCATTTCATATTAATAGCTTTTATAAATGGTTAACAAAATAAGAGGTTATAAAGTCATCATGTGGCAAATATTTTTACAAATATAAAAATAATAAATTTTATAAATAAAAAGAAAGTTTTTTTACGTACCCTGCTACAGTAAGAACCACACATATTATTAAATTTATGAAAAGAGACCAAATCAATTTTATCGCTGCCATTCTAGCAGACGTTACAACAAACATCGGAGCTTAGATGTGGGTATTCCTGATTGGTGCATCGAATTCAATTTATCTGATTTTGATCGACAATAAACGACTTTTTAGGCGTATACATATTTAGCGAAAATATTTAGATTTCACTCATATCAATTAAAAGTAATTGGTCGAATTTAATTCTTATATTTTAAAATTAATTTCATATATCAAGTAAGATTTGAATAAATTTAATTTTTAATGTTTAGTTTCATTTAACTTTCATTTTTATTAGTTAAATAAATATTAACAATCAACAGGTGGGATATTACATAAAATTGTTCTAAAATTATTTCGTTTTGAAAAATTATTTAGTTATAGAATTAACATTAAAAAAATATTTAATATTTATTTGATCTTGATTACCGTTAATAATTTAAATGCATATGTATTCTAACTTTCATGAAGTAATCAACAAAATATTAATATAATAAAAATTAAATATATTATTGTATAAATATATACGTATTTATACATACAAGTATTACATTTTATTTAATATAATGAAAAAATTATTAGTATTTTATTATCTTTATATTGAAAATCAGACTTAATAATAAAAATTTATCCCCTCTCTTTTAATTTAGTAAAATGATCATGTGATAGTATCACTATTAAAGTGTTCGTTGCAATATAGTATAGTGTAGTATATAGCCTTATCATAAATATGTTGAACTAAGTTTTGGAATTGTAATAAGAAAATTATTAGTTTAATCATGTCAATATGTAAATTCTCTCGAGTATTATTGCAAGAAAGTTCAGTGAAAGAGATTCAATCACGAATCACATGACGAAAGCGTTATTGACTAAAAACTTTACTTTTTAAAATAAGATACCTTTAGGTTATGCACATCAGCTTATCTGTCAAATATCTTATAAAATGGAGAAACACATGCATTTATGGAGAGGTGTTGATAAGTTATCATATGCTTTTGGTGACAAACCGAATGGTATAATTTGTAGGCTAGTTACTATTAAAGATCACATTTTTATAGCAACAACTACTAATAATTTATATTATGGAGAAGTTTCA